AAGTATATATATATATATATATATATATATATGAAGTTCGTTCTAGGATTCTCTTTCTTTTCAACGGTGATTTGTTGGTCCATGTTTCCTTCCTTCGCCTCTTCCCCTTCCTTTGGCATTGCTTTTGCATATGTTATTTTAATTATTAAGATGATGGATTCATTTACACACTATAATTACAGCTGCAACGTCTCATGTTCTAATTTCTGTTTTCTGATTTTTGTTTGGGTAGTATTTGAGTATTGGGTTTCACTTCAGTTTCTGGTTTGTGTACAGATTGCTATTGTATTTCGGATAGACGATTGTATTTTCATGCTGGAGTATTTCTTATACTCCTAGAATAATATTATTTCTCTTTGATTTTGCTTATCAAAAAAAAAATTTATATACTATAATTACATAAATTTTTGATTATTTTTATTTTTATTTTTAATAATTAAGATTTATTATAATTTTTTAGATAAAAAATAATTATATTTAATAAATGTGAATAAATCACAACTATAAAAAATAAAAAAATAAATAATTGAAATTTTGTATAAGTGTAATTTATAAAACTTGTATATAAATAGATCTTTACTCAATTATTAAATATAATATAACATGTTAATTATACCTAAGTTGAGCTAATGAAGTAAGTTAATCAATAGTAATTTATTTTCAATATAAATAAGAGATCATGAATTTAAGTCACATAACATATAAATAAAGTGGGTTAAAAAATAATAAAAAGTTAATTCTTATTGTATAACTCAAAATAAAAAAATAAAAAAAAAAAACCTTTGTTGAATGTTGTTTTAACAAAATTTTGAGTTTAAAATGTTTAGAGCGATATTTTTGTTTTAATCTTTTTTAATCTTTTTAATATAGGTAAATACCATATTTACTTCTCAATCTTTATCATAAATATTAAATACTATTCCAGCCTTTCGTTTTTACCAAAAATGGTCCCTAACCTTTGCAAAATTACTAAAATTAATCCCCAAGACTGGCTACTTTCCTTAATTTTCAAAAGAAAATCTTAACCATAATTTTAGAAGGTTCAATAGAAATTTTTACATAAATTTTTTTTTTTAATTTTCATTTCTCTAAAATTATTTTTACTAAATTTTGGAGTCTTACACACCTTAACTCTTCTTTATTGAAAAATGTTTAGGAATTTTCTTTTACCTTGCAGATAAGGGTTTATGTATATGTTATAAGTTAGAATCCTATAATTTGATATAGATTTTATTTTTATAATTTTTGTTTTATAAAACAATAATTTGGATTATAAATAATTTACAATTAAAAATTATTTGGATTATAAAATTCATTATATTGTTAAACTATTAACTTATATCGATAGTTTCTACAATTGAAGCAAAGGGTTGGGTTAATTTAACAAATCATTTATTAACTTTCATATTTTTTCCAATTTCATCTATTATTTTTCAATTCTTCCAATCCTACCTATTATCTTTCATATTTATTTTAATTTCATCTAATCTATTATCTTTAACGAAAATAT